GTAGGTGTAATACAAGTTGTGTAGCACATGTATACACATGTACTACATCATAGCTAGCACATGTATATGAGTTGTATAGTAGGTGTAATACAAGTTGTGTAGCACATGTATACACATGTACTACATCATAGCTAGCACATGTATATGAGTTGTATAGTAGGTGTAATTAGGTGTATGGCAACTAATAGATTAGGTGAATTAGTATTATAAATAGGCTTTGTAATCTTCTCTTCTAGATATGAAATATAGAACTTCTTTGGTTTCTAACAATTGGCTAAAAAGTCAGGTAATAGACTACATAGCAGTGCTGTAGAAATTAACTTCATTTTCTATACAAAACACAAAAGGAACCACATCTATGCATCCCAATCACACTACCTTTCAATGCAGAAAAGCATTAGCATAACAGAAACAAGGTGACAATTTACAATTGTACAATTAATGAGGCTCACATAAAACCGTAGAATTAGCAATTGGAATCTCTTGTCATTTTAGCTCTTAGTTTTAGCAGAAAATGAATGCCAACCAATAAACACCTATTCTTCTAATCACCAATCAACATGGATTGACAAAGTAAACCAAAATTTCACAAGGTAGGGGTAAGGTCTGCGTACACACTACCCTCCCAGACCCCACGGTATGGGATAATACTGGGTATGATGATGTTGTTGTTGTACTACAGAAAATCCAGAACAGTTATGTTAACACACACACATATAAAAGGTAGTACCTTTGGTTTATACTTGCCATAGAGATATAATACTGAAGGTTAAGATTGAGTTATTATTTGAACTTTTAGTTTTCATTAGGCAATACTTTTATCAGAAAATGAATATCAACCAATACACACATATTCTTCTAATCACCAATCAACATGAACTACAAAAGTAAACCAAAATCTACAACAACAGGGTGCTAACAAAAATCAAACAGAAGTGAAATAATAAAACATATCCTAACACATGAATCTGCATACAACAATAACCTGTGAAAAAAGGTAATACCTTTGCTTTATACTTGCCATATAAATCATAATGCTGGGGATTAAGATTGAGTTCTTGAGCAATCTCAGAAATATGAAGTGGTTCAACAGAATTAGCAATATCTATATCTGCAGGAACAGGAGAAACCACTTCCAGTTTCCTTGTTGTTTTTCCCATGATTTCTTATACCTTAAAAAAAACTCAAGATCTTGAGTTTTCCTTTAAAGGGTATATTCAAGATTGTATTTTTAGATCAGATAAATGTTCAGATATAAAGAAAGACGAGTCTAAGTCAATTATTGGCAGTAGGGTGTCAGTGAAAAAACAGAGTTCTTGTCTTTGTTGAAGATATAATGTATATCCACCCTTGTATTAGACTATTATTATCATTATTTTGAGGATTTTGATGGGGTAATGGAGTAGGTGCGTGGGTGGGTGGGTNAATGGAGTAGGTGGGTGGGTGGGGATTATTTCTTGGTAATTTCTTATCTAATGTGTGATGCATTGAACTTTGTGCCAATCGTTACTTAGATTTTTGTGGCAGACTTGAGTTCGCTCAATTTAAGCCCAACAATTGGAGGAAAAAAAATTATCACGTGGATTCGTACTCCAAATGCAGACACCTTTTTCCATGTGAAATATTTTTCTATATACCGGTCATTCTATTTTATCTGACCGTATAATTAATTTAAAGAAAACATAATTTACAGCATCTTTAAAAACAAAAAAAGAATAGATATAAATACGTCATGTTAACTTATTCAAAAAAGTGGAGATGCGGGGTATCGATCCCCGTACCTCTCGCATGCTAAGCGAGCGCTCTACCATCTGAGCTACATCCCCTTGTTGATAGATTTTGTTGTATATTCCCATTTGTCGGATTGTCGATTTTTATTTCATTTCATTTCTTCATTAAGCTATAAGTGATCCGTCCGTTCTCCCCCTTTCATCATAAGGCGTGGTCTGACATAGTAATGGTAACGAAGATATGCCCAGGGAAGCTCGAGCCAACCTATGTCTTAGTTGTTGTCCGAGAAAAGACAACATCGGAGTAGAGTAGCAATACTGAAAAACTTGTTAGAGAACTATTTCAAGTGAAATAAATAAATTTTACTGACAAATCTTCATCCTTTTTAATGAAGTTCATGTCTACTTCAACTTCTAAATAGCTTCCTTAATGAACCAATTTTAAACATATTTTCACTGGCTTTGCATCTTATCTGAATAGCCAGCAATCCTATTACTCTACAGCCTTCTTTATAAATAAGTACATATCAAATAAATTTCTTTGAGCTATTACTAATGAAACAATGTAAAATAAAAGCTAATCCCTCACTAATTTTCACCTCTTTAGCTTTGGTTCTTCTTCATTCATTTCCTATGATGCAAACAGAGTTACTTAGCTCTGAGACGCTGTTATTTTTCCAATAGAACTTTAATAATGAGAAAATGAGAGCATTGTCATTATCACAACGATACTACAAACAACTATTAAATGGCATCATGCAAAGTTAACAAAAAGGGGATCTCATGTTAGTAGGTATTCTTTCGCGCAAGCATGTGTCTCATAATTTAAGGAAATAACCAGGTTGTTGGACAATCGCTGGAGAAAACACTTGAGCATTGGCTCATTGTAGGCTTTTGCGGGTAAATATGCTATCCAAGAGAGGATGCAGTCGATGTTCTTTGGAGTCTCGATAGGTGTTTGCAATTCAAGGGAGGGAGGAGCTAGCATTTGAGTTGAGGTAGGCCCAAGGTCTATTTCTTTACATCAGTGTTCCAAAACTTTGATCTTATCTAGATAACTCTGCATTTGCTGTTGAACCTCTGGGGTGAGTCGAGCTCCGGCCAATGACTGGTATTGCTGAAATTTGAACTCATCACATTTCAATGCTGCAGCTCTACATGCCCTGATGCTACCTAGGAGGAGAAAATGTAAAAGTACTGTGTTACATTTGCTGCGACGAAGACCTATCAATGAATATAAGAATACAAGGATATGTGCCATTCAGAGACCAATGTTAAAATGACTTCAAAGAGAAAACTGCATTCCACTTAAGAACCCTTTTAACACTACAACTCACCACTTAGGTCTAGTAGGTTGAACACAACGGGGCAACTCCCTACACTCCGGACCATGGTTATTGCAGCCCAAACTCTTTGATACTCCTCCCTTGATGCTCGTATGATACAAAGTTTAGTAATGGGATTCACATACTTCACTGCACAAAATACGAACTTCTGAAACTGCACAAAATTTCCAAGAAGAGGAAAGGAGGCAAACTCCGTGCTCAAGGAAAAAAAAAATAAACTAAAACTAACCTTGAAATGAATTCGTGGATGAGGCGAGGGCGCATTCACCAAAGTTTGTCAGAATAACATCCTTGATGGCTTTGGTCAAGTTAAATTGAGTGATTATGATGGGCTCATCAACTCCAGTATCTTTATTTGGATCCAAAAAAACTTCCATCACCATATATCTATTCTTAAATCCCACCATGATCCTTTTTACCAAATGAGCAAAATTTTAATAACAGAATTTATGCCAGATTAAGTAGTGAAATGATAGAAACTACCAAGACAAATCAGCAAATAAAATAGCTTGGCTAAAGAATATGTAACTTTCTAAAATTGCCTGAGGAAAACAGACCATGTATATCATCTCCTTTTTGGATGAAACATAGGGAAGCAGGATCAGTGGCTTCCACAAACTATATATGCAATTCAATATCAAACCCATTTATGAAGGTATCAAGTGAATTCACAGATCTTAAACTGAATATGATCACGGTCAAAACACATGACATGCGAAGGCTGTACTTAGTAGTTGCTAACAGTTGCACTCCTGTTTTTAATAAACTATCTAACCTTGAGAGATCCCTTATAACTTCAAAGTTATACTTATCCAAAAAAAATAAAAAAATAAAAAGAGAGACCCCTTATAACTTCAAAGTTTTACAAACCAAGGGGACATCAGCAACAATTTGGACATCCCAAAAGGCTTTGCTTGATACAAGAGTATCTAACAATTTGAAGAGACGGGGATTTAATATGTCAATTGTTTATTTTATCTGAAAACATTATTGGATTTTATATGATCAAAGTAAGTGAAACCATTGTTAGATTTTATATGTTCAGATCTTTTGAACTTATTCCTACAGTCCTATGAAATATCATAAAAGCATTTCACATCACCCAAAAAGGGAAACTAATAGTAATAATTATCATAATCAAAATCTCTTCCTTTTTTTTGGTTCTTAATCGTGCCCACAAACGAATAGTAAGAACCCATGCTAAGAATTTGTTGAGTAACTTAAACAAAGCATGAATAACCATAAAGAAACAAGAGGGGTTGCTCTGATGGTAAGCAACCTCCACTTACAACGAAGAGGTTGTGAGTTCGAGTCTCCCAAGAGCAAGGTGGAAAGTTCTTGGAGGGAAAGATGCCAAGGGTCTATTTGGAAACAGTTTCTCTATCTCAGGGTAGGGATAAGGTCTGCGTACACACTACCCTCCCCAGACCCCACTAAGTGGGATTATACTGGGTTGTTGTTGTTGTTAAACAAACTATGAATAACCATAAAGAAATAACCTCAGAGTTTAAATTGAAGGAACAACCAAACTCATGCATCAAACAAAACAAAAATCCAAACTAAAGTAACAAACTTTGTCCCATTCACCAAAAGTTACCAGTTTCAAAAAAAAAACTGTCTCATGATCACTTTGGAGACCTACTTTCACCTTTGAAGGCATGGTCAGTATCACAGAAGAAGAAAGTCTCAACCTAGAGGCAATCTTTGAGGAGAAAGAAGTTCTAGCAGCTATACAGTCATGTTCTCCCGACAAGGCACCTGGCCCTGATGGATACACAATGACATTTTATCACAAATCATGGGATTTTATTAAGGCAGACATCATGGGAGCACTAAATCATTATCATGATCATTGTTGGATGGTGAGGTCATGCAATGCTGCAATGCTTCCTTTATTGCTCTAATCCCTAAGAAAAAAGGAGTCATGGAACTCAAAGACTACAGACCAATTAGCCTCATTGGAAGTATCTATAAAATTGTAGCAAAAATTCTAGCAGAAAGGCTCAAGTCAGTGATGGAGAAGCTAGTATCAAATCAACAAAATGCATTCATAAAGAATAGGCAAATCACTGATGCCTCTTTGATTGCTAATGAAGTCATGGACTGGCAACTAAAGAGGGGAGGATCGGGCATTCTATGTAAGTTGGACATAGAGAAAGCCTTTGATCAATTAAATTGGGTTTATCTTATCTCAATACTCAGACAGATGGGGTTTGGCAGCATGTGGATCAAATTTAATACCTCCACGGTCAAGTATTCGGTCCTAGTCAACAGAAGTCCAGTTGGTTTCTTCTCACCACAAAGAGGTTTGAGGCAGGGAGATCCCCTTTCGGCCAAACGACTACAATGGATAAGAGGATTTGATGTGGGAGTTCAGAGCAATATCAACATCTCTCATTTGCTATATGCTGATGACACTCTGATTTTCTATGGTGCAGATAGAGATCAGGTGCTTCATCTAAATCTAACTCTTCTTCTTTTTGAAGCACTTTCAGGTTTACATATCAATATGCTCAAGAGTGTGATCTATCCTGTCAATGAAGTTCATAATTTGGAGGAGCTAGCAGGAATTCTGGGTTGTAATATTGGCACACTTCCTACCACATACCTGGGCCTACCATTGAGAGCAAAGCACAACTCTTCAACAATATGGAAGAGGGTCAATGAGAAATTTGAGAGAAGATTAGCCTCGTGGTAGATGCAATACCTTTCTATGGGTGGTAGACTCACATTAATCAATAGTGTCCTAGACAGCATTCCCACATACTACATGTCACTACATCATATGCCCAGCAAAGTGTTAAATCAGTTGGACAGGATAAGGAAAAATTTCCTTTGGGAAGGGAATAGCATAGTTTCACTTGGTGAAGTGGAAAAAGGTCATTCTCCCAAAATACCAAGGAGGATTGGGAATCAAGGACCTGGCAATTCACAACAAATGCCTACTGATGAAGTGGCTTTGGAGGTAAGGCTGTATTGTGGTCCGGGCCCAGCTCAGGACCGGCCTAGGCCCGCAGCCCATATGGGCTTTGGGCTAAACGGGTTGGCTTGTATGGTCTGGGCCCAAGCGGTCTTAGGAGCCCACTGTGGGCCGATCCTAAGGTTGTTATGCGGTCTGGGCCGGGCCTAAATGGGCCGGGCCAACGGGCCTAAGTGTTACGGGCTATTTTTTTTTTTGAATTTTTTTTATCTAAGGCAATTTCTTGTAAATTATATTATATAATTGTGAATTAAATCTTCTAATTCAAATTTAAACACAAAAAAATTGTAAAGAAATATTCAAGGGAATGCCTTATAATTGCAACATTAACAAAAAATTGCAATATCTTTCTTAGTCTTCCTCCCCAATGGAATGAGCGCAACAAGGTGCTAATACCACCATTAAAAGGAAAAAAAACTAATGAAGATGTGCCAAAATACAAGTTACATAATAGTCTACATATTATCTCTAACAAATTTCATAAATCCTTCAAGGTTCGGAGGAATTTCCGTTGGTGGTGGCGGAAAAGAAGCTTGTTCATCACCGCTTCCGGGCGAAGCAGCATCCTCCGCAAGTTCTGCTAGCATTTCTTCATAAGCTTCGTCTATCTCCGGTTGTGATTCAGCAAGTCAAAAATTTCTTCTTTCCGGACGGATCCAATCTCTGAAAAGTACTGATTTTTCCAAGCTCTCTCTCATAGACGCTCTATGATCACCGATTTGAAGTCTCGCTTGACTGAAAGGACTGGATAGTGTTCGGATTCTCTGATTCAAGTCCCTGCGACAAATCAACTTGAAGCTCATTTAGTTGTAAACTATCACCAATATTATCACCTTGAGAACCCCTGAACCCCGTCCAAGAACTAAGTGCTTTAAGGCCCGCAGTTCTTTTAGATGATTGCGAACTAGGAGTTGGAACATTTGGTCTAGCATGATCTAAGACAAGTTGATAAGCATTATAAATTGTTTGAGCATTTATTTTAATTGAGGCTTTTGCATCTGCAAGTGTAGCAAATTCCTCATCTGAAAGTGATAAAGCCTTATAAATATTTGTATACCAAAAGTGAGGACCTCCTAATTTCATGGTAGGATTTAACATGGCAGCAACACCATAAATAGGGAGATAGGAAAAAATATTTTTTAAACTTATCTTTCATAGAATCAATAGCAAGTTGATAAATTACCCCACCATCTGAAAATTGAGTAAACAAATTTGCAAGTTCTTCAATATAAACTAAACAGTTAGAAATAGTAGGACAATATTGCCCAGATAATTCATTTGTAGCAACATGAAATTGTTCTAAAAATTCTACAAGAATTTTAACATTAGTCCAATCCTGATTTGTAAGGCGCTCATCATCATCATCACCACCACCAACACGAGCATTAAACGTTGCGTTTCTATATTCACAACAACTAAACTTTCATACATGTAATTTCATCTAGTCGGACAAGGTTTAGGAACCTTTCTTTCTCTAAGGCCAAATTCATCTCATTTTTTAAAATATTCTCTAAGTCTACTTCTACGGTTTGAATAAAAAAGCCAATTAAGAGCCATTTTAACCTTTTCAAATTCAACATTTAAAATTTCCATACCATCACCGACGATTAAATGGTAAATATGACAAATACATCTAACATGTAAAATATTACTAGATGCAGGATTTAGTGTAGTTGTAAGCAAGCCTATAGCATTAGTATTACTAGAAGCATTATCCATTGAAACTGACATTATTTTATCTCTAATGTAAAAATATCTACAACTGTATTAGCAATAAACTTACCTGTGTGACGTGAATTAATTATTCTATAAACAATAATGCGCTTTTGCATTATCCATTCCCCATCAATCCAATGAGTGGTAACAGTAAAATAATCACAGTTATTACCACTTCTACCAATATCAGTAGTAATAGCAACGTGACAATTTATATGACTAAATAAATAGCGCAAATATTGTTCATATTCATGTTTATATTTATAAATATCGCTCTTTACGATTGTGCGAGGCCATCCTTTATAAGTAGGATTAAAAACTCTTCTAATATAATGCACAAAGTGAGGGTTAGATGGAAAACTATAGGGTAAGCACATAACAATAACCATTTTTGTCAATTCTTCACGATCTTTATTTGGATCGTAATATAAAATGTCACCGGTAAAAGTGTTAATTTCCGGTTGAACTAGATTTGACCTGGTACCAGGGTTAGCCTGAGTACCTACACTTGTCCCCTCTTGCGCAGCTTTCATTTGAAGAAATCTAGCTTTATCTTTAGGGTGTGTCTTTATGTGTCTAGTCAAACTACTCGTACGCTACGGTCTCCAGTAAATTTATGAGCCATCAAAGTCCCACAAGTTTTACACTTAGCCTTACTTTGATCTCTTAGTTGAATAAAAAAGTGCCAAACAAGAGATGTTTCGCACCGTCTTGAAGGTTGTCTATTAAAAGTAGAGGTTACTACAGGAGGGTCAGGCGGGGCATCATTTGAATTATTATCAGTTGGGTTAACAACAGGACTAGTAGGTGTATCATCTAAATTCGGTTGCGTTTCATCTAAATCATCATTTTCCTCATCATTTTCATCGATAGTTGGATTACCATAAAGAGCATTCATATATTCATCATTTAATTGTTGACCTGATGCAATATCATGATAAAATTGACTATCACTAAATTGAAAACAAGGGTTATCACTATCAAGAATAACAGGTGGAGGAGGACGGGTAACAGGTCGGGTAGCGGAGCCGGGGGAGGAGTAGTAGCTTGGCCACTAGATTCACCAATTTTAGATTTTCCCTTACCACCAAACATTTTTTTCAAAGAAAAGGCCATATTAATTATAATTATACAAACTAAACTATAATATTAAAACTTAAGAGTTGGAACGAGTTTACCGAATTGACGAACAACTTCTTGAAAATTGTATATCGTTGAAGACTCAACTTCAATTCACCAACTTCACAATATTTCACAAATTGCAATAATAAAGTAAGCAATTATAGAAGAAAATTAGAGAGAGATTGATAATTTTGTGAGTAAAAATGAAAGAATGAGAGAGTATTTATAGTTGAGAATATGGAAAAAGTGTAATTATAAAAAGTTTGGGGGACAAATGGCTATTTTTTAAAAAGCCAAACGGCTAAATTGACAGGCCAACAGCTAATTTTTAAACTTTCAACCGTTGGCCAATTTTAAAAAAAAATGTTGGGCCCATTAGGCCTGGTTGAACCGGCCCAGGCCCGCCAGCCGGTCCCGGGCTAAACAGTCCCGGGCTCGCGGTCTCCCGTCTCTCCATGTTGGACCGGCCCACAGTGGGCTCCTAGGAACGCTTGGGCTCGGACCATACGGGCCAGCCCGTTTAGCACAAAGCCCATGTGGGCTCGTGGGCCTGGGCCGGTCCCGAGCTGGGCCCGGACTACAATACAGCCTTAGTCGGTCCAGCATGGAGAGACCGCGAGCTCGGGACCGTTTAGCCCGGGACCGGCTGGCGGGCCTGGGCCGGTTCAACCGGGCCTAACGAAATTTTTTTAAAAAAAAATTGGCCAATGGTTGGAAGTTTAAAAACTAGCCGTTGGCCTGCCAATTTAGCCGTTTGGCTACTCGTTCCAACTCTTAAGTTTTAATATTATAGTTTTGTTTGTTTTAGTTTGTATAATTATAATTAATATGGCCTTTTCTTTGAAAAAAATGTTTGGTGGTAAGGGAAAATCTAAAATTGGTGAATCTAGTGGCCAAGCTTCTACTCCTCCCCCGGCTCCCGACCCAGACCTGTTACCCATCCTCCTCCACCTGTTATTCTTGATAGTGATAACTCTTGTTTCCAATTTACCAAAAGTCAATTTTACCATGATATTGCACCAGGTTAACAATTAAATGATGAATATATGAATGCTCTTTATGGTAATCCAACTATCGATGAAAATGATGATTTAGATGAAACGCAACCGGATTTAGATGATTCACCTACTAGTCCTGATGTTAACCCAACTGATAATAATCCAAATTATGCCCCGCCTGACCCTCCTGTAGCAACCCCTACTTTTAATAGACAACCTTCTAGACGGTGCGAAACAACTCTTGTTTGGCACTTTTTTATTCAACTAAGAGATCAAAATAAGGCTAAGTGTAAAACTTGTGGGACTTTGATGGCTCATAAATTTACTAGAGACCGTAGTGGTACGGGTAGTTTGACTAGACACATAAAGACACACCCTAAAGATAAAGCTAGATTTCTTCAAATAAAAGCTGCGCAAGAGGGGACAAGTGTAGGTACCCGGGTTAACCCTAGTACCGGGTCAAATCTAGTTCAACCGGAAATTAACACTTTTACCGGTGACATTTTATATTACGATCCAAATAAAGATCGTGAAGAATTGACAAAAATGGTTATTGTTATGTGCTTACCCTATAGTTTTCCATCTAACCCTCACTTTGTGCATTATATTAGAAGAGTTTTTAATCCTACTTATAAAGGATGGCCTCGCACAATCATAAAGAGCGATATTTATAAATATAAACATGAATATGAACAATATTTGCGCTATTTATTTAGTCATATAAATTGTCACGTTGCTATTACTACTGATATTGGTAGAAGTGGTAATAACTGTGATTATTTTACTGTTACCACTCATTGGATTGATGGGGAATGGATAATGCAAAAGCGCATTATTGTTTATAGAATAATTAATTCATGTCACACAGGTAAGTTTATTGCTAATACAGTTGCAGATATTTGTAGATATTTTTGCATTAGAGATAAAATAATGTCAGTTTCAATGGATAATGCTTCTAGTAACACTAATGTTATAGGCTTGCTTACAACTACACTAAATCCTGCATTTAGTAATATTTTCCATGTTAGATGTATTTGTCATATTTATCAATCGTCGGAGATGGTATGAAAATTTTAAATGTTGAAATTGAAAAGGTTAAAATGGCTCTTAATTGGTTTTTTTATACCGTAGAAGTAGACTTAGAGAATATTTTAAAAAATGAGATGAATTTGGCCTTAGAGAAAAAAAAGGTTCCTAAACCTTGTCCGACTAGATGGAATTACATGTATGAAAGTTTAGTTTTTGCATATGAATATAGAAACCCAATAAATGCAATGTTTAATGCTTGTGTTGGTAGTGGTGATGATGATGAGCACCTTACAAATCAGGATTGGACTAATGTTAAAATTCTTGTAGAATTTTTAGAACAATTTCATGTTGCTACAAATGAATTATCTGGGCAATATTATCGTACTATTTCTAACTGTTTAGTTTATATTGCAGAACTTGCAAATTTGTTTAATCAATTTTCAGAGGGTGGGGTAATTTATCAACTTGCTATTGATTCTATGAAAGATAAGTTTAAAAAATATTTTTCCCTATCCCCCCTATTTATGGTGTTGCTGTCATGTTAAATCCTATCATGAAATTAGGAGGTCCTCACTTTTGGTATACAAATATTTATAAGACTTTATCACTTTCAGATGAGGAATTTGCTATACCTGCAGATGCAAAAACCTCAATTAAAATAAATGCTCAAACAATTTATAATGCTTATCAACCTGCCTTAGATCATGCTAGACCAAATGTTCCAACCCCTACTCCGTCTGGTTCGCAATCATCTAAAAGAACTGCGGGCCTAAAAATACTTGGTTCTTGGACGGGGTTCAGGGGTTCTCAAGGTGATAATATTGGTGATAGTTCACAACTAAATGAGCTTTAAGTTTATTTGTCGCAGGGACTTGAATCAGAGAATCCCGAAGGCTCCTTTTTAATGTTTTGGAATAGTGGAAGGACAAAGAAAAATACTATCCGGTTCTTTCAAGGATGGCTTGAGATAATTTAAGTATTCAAGCTTGAACAGTGGTATCGGAGAGCGCTTTCAGTCAAGCAAGACTTCAAATCGGTGATCATAAAGTGTCTATGAGGGAGAGCTTGGAAAAATTAGTACTCTTCAGAAATTGGATCCGTTCGGAAAGAAGAAATTTTGGACTTGCTGAATCACAACCGGAGATAGACAACGCTTATGAAGAAATGCTAGCGGAACTTGCGGAGTATGCCGCTTCGCCCGAAAGCGGTGATGAACAAGCTTCTTTTCCGCCACCACCAATGGAAATTCCTCCGAACCTTGAAGGATTTATGAAATTTGTTAGAGATAATACGTAGACTAAAATGTAACTTGTATTTTGGCACATCTTCATTAGTTTTTTTTCCTTTTAATGGTGGTATTAGCACCTTGTTGTGCTCATTCCACTGGGGGGAGGAAGATTAAGAAAGATATTGTCATTTTTTGTTAATGTCGTAATAATAAAAATTATAAGGCATTCCCTTGAATATTTTTTTACAATTTTTTTGTGTCTAAATTTGAATTAAAAGATTTAAGTCACAATGATATAATATAATTTACAAGAAATTGCCTTAGATAAAAAAAAATTAAAAAAAAAAATAGCCCGGAACACAACCCGTTTAGGCCCGTGGGCCCGATCCATGTGGGCTTAGGCCAGAGCCCGGGCCCGTTTAGCCCGTTTAGGCCTGGACCACATAACAGCCTTATTTGGAGGTACACACAAGAGGAGCAACCTTTGTGAAAGATGGTGGTCAATGCTAAGCACGGAACTCAAGGCAATTGGTGTACTAAACTCACAAGAGCACCCCATGGGGTGGGAGTGTGGAAGTGCATACGCATATTGTGGGAAGAATTCTCTGAACACCACCATCTTATATTTGGGAATGGACAACAAATCAAATTTTGGAAGGATAAATGGTTTGGGAATTCAGCCCTAAGGACTGACTTTCCTAACCTGTTTCAGATTGCACGTGATCCCGACTCTACAATCATTCAAAATAAGGATGGCCTCATTTGGAATGTTACTCTAAGAAGGAATTTGCAGGACTAGGAGGTTTCTGATTATGTTCGACTGCTAGAGGTACTACATGATGTCACGCTAAATGAGCACATCACATATATGTTCAGATGGGGAGGAGCAAGTGATGGTAGGTATTCTGTGAAGGCAGGGTACAGGCTAATAATGGCTAGAAATGGAATTACTGATCTTTGGCCATGGAAATTAATATGGAGAACCAGACTACTACCCAAGGTCATCTGCTTCAGCTGGACTGCACTTTATGAGGCATGTTTGACTCAGGAGAACCTTGTTAAAAGGAACTTCCAGTTAGTTAATAGATGCTACATGTGTCAAAGGGATGCAAAAACCAACAACTACCTATTCCTACATTGTAGAGTTGCAGCAGATAGGAGCATGTTTTGCTCTGTTTTTGGTATTAGCTGGGTTATGCCTCACAACATGAAGGAGGCATTTCAGAGCTGGGGCAGCTGGAAAGTTGATAAGATCATCAAGAATATTTGGAAAATGATACCTGCTTGTATTTGTTGGAGCATATGGAATGAAAGAAATAGAAGATGCTTTGATGGACTTTCAACTCCTAACCACACCCTAAAAGCTAAATGTCTTTTGTTTCTATTTAGCTAGGCAAATATTTCCCCCGTAGATTCCCCCGAAACATTTGTGAATTTTGTTAGCTCTTTGTATCTAAGTTAGCATATATGTAGTAAGCTAACAGGTGGTCTTTTTTTGCTTTTTGAAGCTTCTATGCTTCTGCTTCTTGTAATATTTTGCATCTTCTTGATGACATCAATGAAGCCAATTATTTCATCCAAAAAAAAAAATAATTGTCCCATTCACCAAAGCACACAGGTTCAATCATGTAATACATCTGTTTAACTACAAACATAATACCGTTTTCAAAACGGTACCCAAGATCCAACATTATCAATTCGAAAAGAAAACTCAAATGGTAAATTCATAACGTCAAATTTGATTATGCTATCTACAGCATTTCCTCTCTTCATAAAGCTAGGATTTCTGATTCTTTTCACTGTACAAGGGTGAGATCTTTTTCTTAGAAAGGACCTAAATGATTGGGAAGTACAAAGAATATGTGATTAATTAACTTTTCTGTGACATCTCCTTGGATCATCAGAAACCAGATTCTATTTTATGGAGAGAGAAAAAAGTCATTCAAATGGCCTTTTTCTCTGTGAAATAGCTATAATTTGGCATAATAATGCCCCTTTGAAAGTTTACTATTTCACATAAAATGGGACAAAAGGAGTAATAACTATGGTAATGTAGAGCAAAATATGAACTTTCAACAATATTATCACAAAAATACATCATTCAATTTACAAGCGTCCTCAAATAAGGACCCTATTCTTATGGCAATTCAAGCTACATAAATAATCCTAACAAGCTAAAATTGCAGTATTGGAAGTTGAAAAATAAGTAAACACAAGTCATGAACCTTTTCACATTCCATTTTCCGAATATACTCAATCATACAAAATTAAAAAATCTGTATTCAAGCTCATTCAAGTGCAAAAATTTAGCCCCAACACATTTTAATAATTTCTGAAATTTAAAGCCAAAATTGTTTCTATTTTATTTTTTCGAAATTTTTTTAATGTGCAGACTGCAGACTCAAAAAGGCCACAGAGTGGAAGTTTGGAATAAAGCCAAATTTTTTCAAGGAAGACTAAATAATTTTCACCACTGCTTTTAATTTAACAGAAAATTAAGTATGTAAAAAACAATTATTGCTGGAACTTGAGCAACTTACTGAAATTTGGTGGTGGAAGACACAGGGGAGACGGCGAAGGCAGCAGAGTCACGGCGGTTAAGGTTCGCCGGTGACGGCGACGGCGACGGCGATGGTGACGGCGGAGTTTGGCGGAGGGGCAGCAAAGGAGGATTTTGGTTTATTGACGGGGAGAGAAGGATTTTTTAAAAGGTAAAAGGTTAAGGAAAAAATACTTTCCTTTTTCTTTTGGTCTGTTTGCTCAATTTTTTTCTTGCGCATGAAAAACAATTTTAATCGATTTAAATATACTTTCAAGACAGTCAAATCTATATATATATATATAGANCCGGTTTCAAAATTCTCTTCATACCGTTTCAAGCACAAAATCCGTATCTGAAAATCAAAAAGTCACCATATTGAAACGCTGCTTCTTATTAACAATCTATAAAAGCAACAGAAGAAACCGTATTTGATTTTTCACTCTCTCCTCTACAGGTTAGCAATTCTGATACCCACATTGAATTTCATTAATTTCTTAGAAATTTTATTAGTATTTATTTTATCATTGTTTATACATATGATATTTGTTGTCTAATGAATTTGTGAGTTTATCTGAACACATTCATTTGTTATACCCTATGTCTGTTGTGGTTAAATTAATCTACTAAGAAAGAGTGGATATGTCTGAATATAGGTGGGAGAATTGCTAGCAGAGCCATCTCGGCTTTGGTGAGAACTGAACTAAGTTTTTTTTTTCTCTGAATACTTGGGAAAATGTCTTTTTATATTACGGGTTTCAGAACCATTTGCCTTAAAAAAGTGAGAAAACATCTTCCCTTCTTGAATCTTTCCCAAGCTCGATCGGTTTGTTTTCACATCCTCTCAATCTTAGGTATGTACTCCAGGACATGGTTAAACTCCTGCTATTGAAAGTTTTCTCTAGTGATGCTATATGCCCACGTGAAGTATGTCTCTTTCTTTTTATTTCAGTCCAACTTATTCGGAGTTCGAAACTCAAATTTGTTGAATTGTAGAGAAATCAGGGCCACACTTTCATTGTCTGTCACTTGAGCAATACGTGTGTGCGAATATTTTTACAACTCAGACTCTCACTCTATTTTGTTCTTCTTTAAACTGTGTACCAGTGGGTCTATGTGGATTAACAATGGCTCTTGAGTTCGATCGAGTTTCTTTACAGTATCCACCATTCACTTGTGTCAAATCAGTTTTTCAGAGTATGGCTTCCATATTTTGACTACAATTCTTATCAGAAAGCACGATAGTAATAAGTGACAAAGATGCAAAAAACATAATAGTTGTCCTCCACTTTTGGTTAGAGGCTGAAGATGAACTTTCTAAGTTGGACATTAAATTCAGCAGCGGCACAATATAATCTTGAGGGAAGAAAGCCTTTTCAAGAAATGGTTCTGTTCCGTTACTAAGAGACGCAATGACTGTTACTCTTCTATTGTTCCATTACTGAAATAGTTTGAAGTTTTGAACTTTAGATTTGTCTCCTTTTATGAGACTTTACAAATCTTAGTTTTGTTGGTTATTGGGGATGTTTCACCGTCTCTGAAATAATTAAAAAAAATTGACTTTAGATTCTTGATGCTCCTTTCTTCTTCTTATGTGAATGCAAAAGCTGAGTGTTGGTTAAAAGTTTTTAACTTTAAATTCTTGATGCTTGAAGGGTAACACAACTAAATTGGTATCATGGAAAAGAGAACTTACTGTAAGCAAGAAGACCAATTTGAAATGCTTTGTTTGTCCATATTTCAGTAAGTTATGGAATTACCTTTTTCTCCTATACAAGAAGCACGGTAGAAACATTCTATTTATAAGACGAGTTCAAGGAATATTAAAATAGAAAGAAACAAAACTTTTGAAATTCTGTGGAGGATTGAGAACTAAAATAGAAATTTGTAATGCACCATATATAATTGATTTTTATGCATATATACTTGTAAAATTGTCTTTATCTCAACAAAATTTATAAAAAAATTAATTCTAAATATACATTTCTGTTATTTGTAACCACGCGAAGCGCGGCAAATTCTCTAGTTTTAATATAAATAGTAGGCTCCTACAATATTTTTCAACATAGTATCAAATTCAATATAAAACTTAGATAATAATATGTATAGATATTTATAAAATTCCTTCAAAAAGCAAAAGAAAGCGAAACATACCTTTGAAATTGAAATTGAATCGAGCTCGGAACACTGGAACAGG